AAGACACATAATGAAGGAATCAAATCTCTTATACCAATACCTCGGCGCCTGCTTTAGACCGTACAGAGATTTGTTCAACCTGCAAATCAAGTTCTTATTTTCTTCTTCTTCAAAACCTTCAGGCTTGAGTATATAAATCTCTTCTTCAAGATTTCTATGAAGAAAAGTTGTTTTAACATCTAGTTGCTCTAGATGTAAGTTCAATGTAGCACACATTTCCAAAACTACTCGAACTGTTGTTAGTCGAACCACAGGAGAAAATATTTCATTGAAATCAGTACCTTCTTTTTGAGCATATCCTTTGACCACCAGTCTTGCACGATACCTCTCAACTTGATCGTCACCATTTCACTTGATTTTGAAGACCCATTTGTTACCAATTGATTTCCTTCCTAGTGGTAGTGGCACAAGGTCTCATGTATTATTTTTATGAAGGGCTTCAATTTCTTCTTACATCGCCATCATCCATAATGAAGCATTTGAGTTGTTTATTACCTCCTGGTATGTTGATGGCTCACTGTCCTCTGTTAAAAGGCAGTATGCAATATTTCATTCTATAACATAATATGAGTGCCAATTGGGACGTCTTTTCACACGATCTGATTGACGAGTTGTTGGAGCTTCAGAACTCTATGGTTCCTGTTCATCATGTGCTTGTTCTGCTTCTGAAGAATCTCCTTATTCAACCTTCTTTTCCACATGTATATGTGTAGTCTATGACTTTTCAGCGCTATCATCGTCTTCTTTTCTTTGTAGTTTATCTTCTATAAAGATAATATCTCTATTGATGATCACTTTGCGGGCAGTGGGATCCCACAAGCGATACCCCTCAACTCCATCAACATACCCCAAGAATTTGCATTTCCTGGATTTTGGATCCAGCTTTGAGATTTCTTGGGAGTTGTACATCACGTACACAATACTTCCAAATATATGGATGTTTAATAATCAGCTGGTTTATCAGTCCACATCTCCATTGGTGTCTTCAGCTCTATTGCAGTTGATGGAGCTCGATTCACCAAATAACAGGCGGTATTAACTGCTTCTGCCCAGAAAGATTTTTCTAGGCCTGCATCCCTCAACATTGCTCTTGTTCTTTCTAACAAGGTTCTGTTCATCCGCTCTGCCACTCTATTTTGTTGAGGAGTGTTCGCCACTGTGAACTGTCTTTTGATGCATTCTTTCCTACAAAAGTCATCAAATTATTCGCTTGTGTATTCTCCTCCATTATCTGTTCTGAAACACTTGATCTTATTTCCAGAATCAAGTTCCACCTGCGCTTTGAAGTTTTTGAAAGTTGAAAACACATCTGACTTCTTCTTAATAGGGTACACCCAACATCTCCTAGAGTAATCATCAATAAATGAGATAAATTATTTTGCTCCGCCTAGGGATGTAACTGGTGCTTTCCATACGTCAGAGTGAACCAATTCTAGAACACTTTTGCCTCTAGAATTTAATGTGTTGAATTTCAACTGGTGTTGCTTACTTGTTATGCAATGCTCACATAAAGGAAGTGATACCTTTGTTAAGCCTAGAAGTAGCTTTTGCTCCACAAGGACTTTCATTCCTTGTTCTAACATGTGTCCAAGTTTCTGATGCCATAGCATTGCAGAATCTGAACTACATAAGGCAACAGAGGCTTCTGCTTCTAGCAAAGTCTCTCCCTTCAGCATGTACAAATTTGTTACTATCTTTTCGCCTTTCAGCACCACAAGCGCTCCACGAAACACTTTCATGATTTCTTTCCGTGTTTCAATCTTGCTTGCATTATTATCCAACAATCCGTAGGATAATAAATTTTTCTTCAGGCCTTTTACGTTCCGCATATCTCGAACAACTTTAATTGTTCCATCATACAACTTCAATTTGATGGTTCCCACGCCAATGATCTCTAAGGCATGATTATTACAACTATACACAGATCCTCCTGAGACAGGTCCATAATGATGGAACCATTCTCTTCTTGAGGTCATGTGATATGTTGCTCCTGAATCAATGAGCCATATATATGCATATCTTTTTCTGCCTTCTACGGTGGTTGACGCTTCACAACATAGAGCATCTCCATCATCTGAAGTATTTGCGGTATTGCCTTGTGGATTGGAGTTTTTATTTAGACTCCAACAATCCTTCTTCAAGTGTCTTTTCTTTTCACAATTGTATCACTTTAAATTCTTCTTGCTTCTCGACTTCGATCTACCATGTTGTTGATTGCTGCTTTGGCCACGTTCTGTTGATCTCCCTCTCATCGTTGTCAACGCTTCTGCTTGTTGTAGATTTACTTGTCTGTCTTCCTTGTTTTTGTGCCAATTTTCTTCTTGGAGAAAAACAGCTGCAACGTCATCGAAGACTAGACTGGTGACATTACCGTTTGTCAAGTTGATGATGAGTTGATCATACGAATCAGGTAGACTTTGAAGTATAAGTTGTTCTCCTATTGTACATCTTAAGGATGTAAGCTGAGAAAATAACGTGTTCAGTGTGTTTAAGTGCTCCGTCACTGAAGTAGATTCTGGCATCCGGAGAGTGTACAATTTCCTTTTAAGGAAATTTTTATTGTGCAACGATGTGGCCTCATACAATTTGGTGAGATGATCCCATATCTTCTTAGCTGTCTTCTTTTCCTCGATGCTTGACAATACTTCATCTGCTAATGCTAGATGAAAGTTTACCATAGCATTCCCGTCCATCTCGTTCCATTTGCTATCATCTGTGAAATCCACCGACCTTTCACTGATAGCCGCTAGACACCCGTCTTTCCTCCGGATGACCTTCATCTTTAATTTCCACAATGAGAAATTTCTCCCATTGAACTTTTCAATATCAAATTTCGTTGCCATAACTTCTATTTCGGATAGCTCCCACTATTTCACTATCGTGAATAGTTCTCTGGAACCTTCAAAGAATGGGTAATACCTTCTTACTTTCTTATGTTGGAGGATCCACCTTTTGGTGACAACCACAAAGACAATAAACAGATATTACACACTCAAATCTGGCTCGGATACCAATTGTTGCGGAAGACGGCTATCTGATAGAGCAAAATCGCAACTGATAATTTGAGAAAATAAAAAATAAATATAAAGAAGATACAAAATTTACGTGGAAAACCCCTAAATAATATAGGATAAAATCCACGGTAAATGGTAGAAGAATTTCACTATGAGAAAATATGAATTACAACCTCTCTCGATCTACCAAGGAGAAAACAATGATAATTCTCTCTTGATAAAAAGGAGAAAACAACTCTCAAGAAACTCTTTGAATTTTCTCTAGTATTGGATAAAAGCTAGATTGCTTTGGGATGTTTTTGAAGCTAAATGAGCTAGGGTATTTATAGTTAAAGCTTAGGGACTAATCTTATAAATACCCTAAAGTCTAATGACTAAAATTAATTTTTACATTCCACTTTTTTCAACATTTTAGGTGAATTATTATTTCTAATTTTCAAATCACCTTTAAGTGGAAAATTAGGCCACCAATTTTGGCCACTTGATGATGACTTTTCAACAACAGCTTCAAGAACGTTTAAAAGTGCTGGAGGAGCAAGCCAAGAAGAGAACTGTGGAATCTGTAGTTTTCGTGAAGAAATCCCAGTTATTACCCGAAGATGATTCGTCTTCATGTGAAGAGAGCTATGAAGAAAAATCTTCGGAAGCTGCACTGCCGGAGATTGAAGCTAAATCCTCCAATAACGATGTTCTTAGTCGAATCCATTGCGAGAAACAAAAAGGGTTGGTGGCCAAAATATTAAGCGAAATTGAAAACCTTCATCTATTGATTGTTAATTGCAGTGTCTTGCCTTTTGGGAACTCGACTCTTTGATATGACCATAATTGCTCAGGTAATTAATAATTTATATTTATTTCTTGGGTTCTTTTAATTCATTACTTGAACAAATAATGAAAGCCGATACCATTTTTTTTACAGAAAGATGATGAATTCAACCTGACAGTGAAAGATCTGATTAAGGAGTTAAGAGTGGCTTTATTGAAATTCATTTGATATAAGTCTTGAAGTTTATGTGTTATTTGTTTTGTTTTGTTTTTAAGTTTCCCATGAGAAATCAAGACTCATAAATTCTCTATCCTTTTAGACCATAACTTTTTTTATTCTGTTTTTGCGTGGTTTCAAGTTTTGCTGTGGACCACGTTCATTTTCACAGATGTTAATGACCATGACGAGGTTTAGAGATTTCATTAACGAATTGAAGTGTTTATCAAATGTTGATCTTAAGTTATTTTGCAGTGTAGAAATAAGCAATTAAGAAGTTCTTTAGGATTTGATTCTTTTTTTTTAATGTACAAGTTGTTAGAGATGAACGTTTTCTTGGATTTAGCATAAACTCCAAATATTTGGTCTTTTTTTTAATTAATCACTGGTATCCGATCTATTGATCGACTAATCCAGATCGAGTACTACAGAGACGAAGGTGACCCTCCCAGCCTAGTTTGCTCAATTCGCAAATATTTGATCTTAAGACATGCAATACAACTAAGTCATAAGAAGTACATGTTAGCAAAACACAGTTGGAAAGCAAGGCCTAGGGTTTGAGGTTTAAGTAAATACATCAATGAGCATTTTTTTCAACATTAATTATCATCCCAAATTGAATTGGACTAAGTTATAATAAATGTAAAAGAAAGGATTATATATATAGGGAAAGTTTTAGGTTATAAATGATCATTACATTTAACTTTAGTTATTAAATGAATTAAAACAGAATTTAATCAAATTATATCATACAATCTTATTTATTAACAAGTAATTTACGTTAAGGACAAGTGGCGAATTTAAAAATATTTTTTTAGGTGGATAAAAATATGTTTACAACACAATTTTTTAATAGGATATGCATAAATAAAATTTCAGGTGGATATCTTTAGTAAAATAAGTAACTAATTGAAAAAAAACTCGATTTCAGGGTAGGAACGTGCCCACCCTCACCAACTGTGGCTCTGCCACTGCTAAAAACTAATAGTATCATTGATAAAAGGATAGCGTTCTCCTAAAAAGATTTGGGTTCAAGTGATTACATCCGCATAATATGTGTACGTTGTTAATAGGCCAAGAAAAATATGAGCATATATTACCTTATAATCATCCCGAACTATTCAAAAATAATTATTTACACTAACAACATTAAAGGTTCAATAACATTTTTAGCCCTCAATTTTTTTTAAAATTTTTTTTAATCTTTAAACTATTTTTAGCATCATTTACTTCTCGAACTTTTTTTTTCTAAATTGGATCATCTGAAGAAAAAATAACAGATTTATTAAGCTGATGTCAATTACTTTGTTTTTATCAATATTATTAATGTTAGTTATTTTCTCCATTTGTATTAATTTTTTAAGAAAATAAAAATTATTTTCAAATAATGAAAACATTAAAAACTTGTTAAAAATTAAAAAATGTAGATGATAAAAAATTATCCAATTAAAACTATATGCAAAAAGTAATACAAGTCAGTTTAGTATAAATATGACATAAAGGGTTTACAACATACTTCATGCTTCATAGTAGAACAGATCACAGATTGATCTCACCTCTAGACTAATTGATTAACATTAACATAATGAAATTATTGAACATATTACCTTAATAAGACATTTATATATTATTACACATACCGAAGGTGATACAATACACAAACAATGTTATATAAATAAAAATATATCATATGAGATAAGATATAGATAATTATAGACCAAACATAAGTAGTACTCATATATGTATATAGTAGATAGTTTCATATGCATCAGATTTCAGGTATTTGAATAATCTCGTGCTATTAAGGTCCATAGTCTTATATATATATATATATATAGGATGTTCATAATGTTTTCTAGAATGTCACTATGACGAAATATATATATATACACACACCTCAGATGTCCATATTATTTTTTCGAATGTCACTAAGATCGCATAAGTGAATATTACCACGTAGAGTTGTATACAATAATACTTGTTATTATAATCACATAACACAAAATTCTTAGAGTGCCTGGAATGGTCATACGAATCAATATTCGTTTAATCTAAGAAATTTATCAGATAATAAAATATTCTCAGATTTTGTTAACCAAATTATTAGTCTTTGGAGAATTTCACTAAAGGTAAATTAGTAATTTTTCGAGTACATAATGCTTGAAGTTTTATTAATAAGCATTGAGCTTTAGGACTTTTAAAACTAATTAATACACGTCATGTCTACTTTCAAAATTTTTGGCTCTTAAGGGCATTTTAATATTTTCTACCCTTATAAGATATTTTGGTGATTTAACATATATAAGGGTGTTTTGGTAATTTTACTCCTATAAAAGTATTTTGGGAGTTAGAATTTTAATCTAGGTCTAAAGAATAATTTTAAGAGTGTTGGAAGAACCAAACTAGGTCCAAAAGGGTCTTTGGGGTTATTTAAGTCCAAAACGATTTTAAAAATTAAGTTAGATCAAGACCCCTAATTTCAAAATCAGATGGGTAACTTTAAAATCATATGGCTGATTTCGAAACTCAAGACTTTGTTTTAAAATAGGATGTAACTCTCTAAATCCAATTTAATTATTATGATCGAATCTTAAATGTCACATTAATCGTAAAAATAATTCAAATTAAATTCAGTTAAGTATAATGCAAAGAAGTTGCTTGTATCCACATTGGTGGGATACAAACTTGGTCAAAAGGTTATATATCAACCTTTTTCTTCATACATATCGAGTAATAAGGGATGAAGTCATGAACACGTGTTCATTGTTACAAGTTCGATTTAATTGGGGTTCATGTTAATATGTGGGATTTTTAACCGTGCCCTCGACTTTTAACAATAAATTGAGATCACTTCTCTTAGTTTCATTCGCTCATCCTCTTTTCACAAATGATTTATTTTTTTTAGAATAGTTTTTTTTTGTATTTCTTTTCTACAGTGTTTACTTTGATTAAAAGCTCTACATTGATTCTTTCTGAGAAAAGAGCAACACTATTAAAGAATTCCAATTCCTTATTTTTAATGTACAAAATTTAGAATATTATGCTAATTTTAAATAATAATATTTAGATTCAAGGTTACATCAATCCATAGAAAATTATTTATAAAATCCACTAAACTATATAATAAATTAGTTAATTTTTATTTATTTATTTATTCTAATCAATGCTCATATCATATTATACAATATATATGTTTTTTTTTTGAACAGATGATCCCAAAACGATTACGGAAGTAAATACAATAATCGATGGCAATCTCTAAGTTGGGAAAAGCTCAGATGAATTCTAGAACATATTACCAACATAATGATTAGGGTTGAATAGTGCAATAGTTGATTTTCAAGAGGTTAAGTTTTATAATGGGACCGGGGTTTCCTATGACGTATAAGCACAACAAATCAAATAGATTAAAAAAAACAAACTTACTTTTGTGGACGCACTTTGTTTCAGTTCATCTCTTGCTGTCTCATTCAATTTAGGGTTCTTTTAACCCTTCAATTTAAGTAGACAGAGAAACCACAATGGAATCAAGCTTTTGGGTTTCAATCTTTTAATAATTCTAAATTATGTGGAGTTTTTATATATAAAAAACAAGAAATCAAATATCAAAGAAAGGTTAATTAAAGGTCTAGGTAAAATCATAAATTATAGAAACTCGAGAGCTAAAAATATTATTTTAAAAAATGTTTAAATTAAATAATTAATTTTTAGAAGCAACCAAAATAATAAAAACTGTCTTTTTTAGTATGGCTAATTACTGGTGTAGGCAACTTATTCTGCCTCAATCTATCATCAATAAAATTGAACAGATTTGTTCGAGATACTTCTGGAAAGGTTCTGATATTCCTGCTGTGGGAGCCAAAGTTAGTTGGGACAGAATTTGTAAACCAAAATCAGAAGGTGGACTTAGTCTCAAGGACATCAAGTCATGGAATAAATCTTGCATGTTGCTCCTCATTAGGCGACTTCTTGCAGGGGAGATCCCTTTGGGTTGCATGGATTCAATCTTATTATTTTAAGGACCATGATTTTTGGGCGATGGAAGCTCCTACGAATTCAAGCTGGCTCCTAAGGAAAATTATGAATTACCGATCAGTTGCTCGTCCTATTCTCGACTCTGAAGTAATGAATACTAAGCAGATTTGGGAAGAGGTTCGAATGAAAAGCAGTAAAGCACCATGGCAGAATCTGATATGGTTTTCTTTCCACATTCCCAAATATAGTCTTATCTCTTGGATGGCTATTTTAGATCGACTCCCCACAAAGGATAGATTGCAAAGATTCTGTATTGAAACGAATGACATGTGCATTCTTTGTTCTGAAGCTAGTGAATCAAGAAACCACCTATTTGTTGATTGTAAGTTTATTGCAACAATCTGGAATTCTATTCTATTGCTCGTAGGCTTACAAAAACCACAACAAATACATGGAAAGGTAAATCTTTGCTTACTACGATCTTGAAGATTTCTTGGTGCACTCTCAATTATACTATTTGGGAAGAAAGAAACCGAAGATTATTTAGAGGAACCTACAGAAATGAGAATTAAATTCTTGAATCTATCAAACAAATTGTAGGAATTCAACTTAGTAATAGGAATGTTAATATATTAGATAGAACTAATCTTTCTCTCTGTAATTACTGGGGAATAGTATGATTTTGTTGTAATTAGGATCCCCTTCTTTTTGCTATTTGGATTGTATTTGTTTTGTAGCATTTTACTGCAATCATTTGGGTAATAAAAGCTTAATTATAAAAAAATTATAATTTTTCACATAAATAAAAGTATAATATATGTAATTAATAAAATTTTAAGGGATTAAATTCGAGTTTTATAATGTAAATTTTATCTATAAATACATCATTGCATATATTAAGATTCGAGTCTCAATCATATTAACTTAGCTTTCTTGCAAATATGACAAAATTTTCTGTCGACAAATATCATAAAAATTAAGTATTATTTGGTATTTGGTTGAAAACCCAATATTTAATACTAAATTAGTAAACTATTTTAGTTATTAGGTAGTTGTTTGAAATAAATACTCAGTTTCCCATTAGTATCGAAAGATGGTTTTTACTCACGAATCACGCCCCTTTCTACCTCAATCTTCTAATTAAAAAGAAAGGTGATATAAATTATAATTTCCCCATTTCATTTTTTAGTCCAACTTCATTCTTTCTCACATGACATGACAATTATGTATGTTAACGTATTTAAATAATAAACATCATACATCATGCACACTCATTAATTCATATTTAAACTAACTAATGAATTATATTATCATCAAGTCAAGCAAATATGAATGTCACATTACGTTATCAAGAAGACAAAATGTGGACAAAAGATGTATTTTTCATTAGTAGGAGCAAAGACAAGAGATTTTTTAAAATAAAAATAAATAAATTGTCTTCTTTTAAAAAAAAGATAAAATACAATTTTATCATTATTTTCGACAACGAAAGGAATTTATAAACAAAATTTGATGACCAAAGAAAATGCGACACCAACTATTTGAGGTATTTAGATTAGGCCTGTAAATGAACTGAACGTTCAGCGAACTGTTTATGAACCGTGCGACGGGAAGTTCATTTATGTTCGTTTATTTATTAAATGAACGAATATGAACAAGATTTTACGTTCGTTTAATTAAATGAACGAACATGAACAAATGTCTCATTCGTTCATTTACGTTCGTGCACGTTTGATTATATGTTCGTTTATATTCGTTCATTTATGTTCGAACAGAGGGCAAGTTGAATATGTTATGAAGATTATCGAAGTTGTTTGGATTTCAAAAAGATTATTTTGTTGAATAAATTAATTTTAAGACTTTCGAACAAATTATCTCTAAAGTTGCAGGTTATATTAATGAATTTTAAGTTGTTATTCTTGTTGTTTACTTTTTTTTTACATTCGTTTGTTGTGTTCGAATAAGTTTTTTTTGTTGTTCGTTTATGTTCGTTTATTTATTAAATGAACGAACATTAACAAGCTATATTTCTTAATGAACGAACATGAACAAAAAAAAATTTGTTCGTTTATGTGTTTTTTTATTTATTAAATGAATGAACATGAACATACATCCGTTCGTGTGCGTTCGGTTCGTTTACAGGCCTAATTTAGATACACAAGTAGTAGGTATTATTGATAAGTTAAATTACTCTAACCACCACGAAAACAGGATTAGCTTACTATGCTTCCGGTCAACACCCCCACCTCGGCCCCTTTGCATTCATACCACCCTACCAAATAGTTTCAACTTTCAAGTTATTTATCTATTGTCGGTGTAAAAGTTGTATATGTAAATTTTTATTCACTAATAACTGAGATAGTGTCTATGAGTTGTAAGGTTATATATTGTATGAGGAGTACTTGCAGTTAGTGTGGAGTTAAATTGAGGTTAATGTATCTTTTTGTATTAAGAATATATAATCGATTTCTTTTTGAGCAAGACTCTACAGATGTAGGACTGATGATCATTTGTTATTAAGTGGTTTCTTTCAATATATATGCGATCGCGCGCGCTTGTAAAATTAATTTTTCAGGTGAGGGTGCACCAAATAAGTAATCTACAACAAATGAAAGCAGAATGTAGTGTTTAATTGAGAGGATTAAGAGCGTGATTGGTGGCACAGGGTTTATATCTTTTACTACAATTTTCATTTGCAATATTCTAAACCAAATTCGAATCGGTCCCTTAGCCAACTTGCTTAATTCATTACCATGCCAACTCATCAATGTTAACTTAACAAATCATAATATGATACGTTATTAAACTTTATTTATTGTCACGTTATCATCCAAAGATCTAAAACGATCATTGATTTGACAAAACTAATATTAGTTAAGTTGGCATAACTCTGTCATTCAAAAAAAATGATGGTAATGTTACATTGTAAGAGTCAAAACATTTGGGTAAAGTAATGTTCAAAATAATGGATAAGAAATAATAAGTTGATGTGATAAATAATCATTTCTTACTGAAAATTCTTATATGAAATTGTTTTATAAAGTGTTTAAGGTGAACAAATTAAGTTAAAAAGTAGATTCAATTAATATCTTCAACACCAAATGCCAACGCCATGAATTGATTAATGGAAACAACAATTTACAAGTTCTCTAAATTAAGCAAATCAATGATATATATGGATGATCGTCGGACAGCCAAATTCCGAATTCATTTATATTTAGATCCATTAAAATAATTCAATCCCCTTTCACTTTATGTATACATTATAGAGACCATTAAATTCCGAATTCAATTATTTTTTTAATTATTCATATTATTATTTTAATTTTTTAAATAAATTACAAATAAATATTTTAGCAACATTATAGAGACGATATGGTGAAATCACATGCCATTAACTTCGGACATTGAATTTTAACTCAACTTGACGTTTAAGTAAAGGGCAGTTAAATTAAATAAAGCAAAACTTGGAACTGTTGATCACGTGTCTATTTATTTGTCATGAAAAGAGCTAAACCACGTTTATCATGTGATTGCGCTACCCCTTTCTCCCTTATATTCTCGCCGGCCTCCAATGGCAAAATCAAAATAGAAAATAGAAAAGGCCCAAAATATTTAGAAAGCTTTTATAATTAATTTAATAAATAATTTTAGACGAAGTAAAAATCTATACATAAATATATCAATTTTGTATTTTATTTTTAGATAAAAAAATAATTATTTTTTAAAAGATAAAAATATATTTATAATAATGTTAAACTTTTTTAGTTTTTTTTTGGGTAATTAAAAATTTTATTACCCAAAACCAAGCCAGTACATCATCAAGATACAAAAGAATCAGAGTTTTGAATACAATGATCAATCAAAACAAAAACAAAGATCACACTATATTCCAATTCCTAGAAAGGGTAATATTAACATTATCATTGCTATTGAATTTCCTATTACTCAAGTGCAATCCAATTATATCTCTGATGACTTGGAACAATTCTTGAGCATTCTTGGATCTACCTTGGAACATTCGCTTGTTTCTTTCATCCCACAGTAAGTAAATAGTGGCATTAAAAGATAACTTCAAAATAAGAGTGAGCATTGATTTTCCTTTCCAAGCAGTGGAAGCCCTTGCACAAAAAACTTCCCATGAACAAGGGTAGAAAAGAAATCCTAAAAGACAAAAACAGATTTCGAGATTGATGTAGCCATAGGACAGAGCAGAAAAATATGATCCATTGTTTCCAAAGGATCATCAAAGAAAACACATTTGCAGTCAAGGATTAGTCCCATACGGTTTATAGTCTTTCTCTTGTAGGAAGTCTATCTAGCAAAGTCATCCAAGAGATTAAACTATGTTTAGGTATGTGCATAGGAAATCAAACTATTTTATGCCAGGGAACAATAGCTCTCTTGATTCTAATAACATCCCAAATTGTTGTCATTGTCGTAGCTCCAACATCCAGAACTGGACGAGCTTCGTGTCTTAGATTTAGGAGTTTCCTTAAACTCCAGCTTTGCGATGACTGGATGTCAACATTCCAAAAATCTTTGTCCTTAAAAATATAGTATTTGATCCATGCTACCCAAAGAGAACCCTCACCTGCAAGAATTTTTTTAATGAGAATGAGCATACAAGCTTTGTTCCAAGTCTTTAAATCTTTGATTCCAAGACCTCCCTCTGATTTGAGGTAACAAATATCGTTCCAGCTAACACGAGCTCCAGAAGCTTTTTGATCAACTCCTTTCGAGAAGAACCTTGAACATAATTGCTCTATTTTATCAAGCACTGATTGAGGCAGAAAAATTTGTCTACATCAGAAATTGGTAAGACTAGATAAAACAGTTTTAATAAGTTCCATTCTCCCTGTATAGCTAAGGAATTTAGAAGACCATTAACAAAGCTTTGCTTTAATTTTTTTTCAATGGGGAAAGCAGTCCTTATTTGAAATTTTCCAGGTGACCAGGGGATACCTAAATATTTAACAGGCGGGCTGCTATTTTTAAAACCAATTAACAGATTGATTTCTTCCAGTTTCAAGGCAGACATGCCAGCAACAAATAGCTCACATTTGGATGCATTAAGCTTCAGTCCATACATTTTATAAAATAGATCGAGGACACTATTAACACCAATAATAGATTCAGTGTTCCCTTTTCAGAAAATAAGAATGTCATCGACAAATGAGAGATGAGTGAGTCCCTTTTTTTTTTGTATTTAGGGTGATACCCAAAGATTCCTTTAGTGGCAACTAAGTTTAGGAGCTTGGAGAGAACATTCATAGAAAGCACGAATAACAAAGGAGAAAGAGGGTCTCCTTACCTAATTCCTTTAGCTCCTCTAAAGAAACCAACTAATGTCCCATTAAAAGAGATAGAGTAAGAAGCAGTTGAGTAGCAAATTTCAATCCAAGTGATGAAGATTTAGGGCAGTCCAATGGCTTTGAGAATAGAAGAAATAAATTCCCAATTAAGGGTATCAAAGGCTTTGTGAAGATCAACTTTCAATGAGCATCGAGGGGAAATAGTCTTCCTACCATATCCTCTAACCAATTCTTGAGCAAGAAAAGTATCATCAATAATACTTTCACCTTTAATGAAAGCAGTTTGGTTGAGAGTTTTTAGTTTTATGTTTCACTTAATGGTAAAATTTTATTTTATTCATATTTTAATAAAATATTTATATAAAGATTCATTTGAATTACAAATTAATAACTTGATTTAAACTAGTAAACTTGGGGTCATTATGATGAAACACGAAAAGAAAATCAGCCTCAAATTTGAAAACATTAAACAACCTTAAATGGACCTTTGAGAAAGCACACTTACTAAATTTAGATAACATCCGATGTAAATAACAATGATCTAATTTAATTGCTAAAATATTATATTTACCATTTTTTAAAATTATTTTCCTTGACTTGACAGCACCAATGATTAACAATACTAAATAATAAAAACAAATATACAAAGCTTAAAATAATCCCATTGTCGTTAATTGCACGCTACTTTATTTTATTATTTATTCGAAATCTTTTGCCCTCTTCTCTGGAATTTGTGGTTAAAGTAACCGAATTATTAATTAAATAATTAAGAAATGGAGATATTCATAATCCCCACTAAATTTTGAAAGGTATGGGAGATTAATGGGGTGGACAAAGAAAAAGATTTGTATAATAAATAATAGAGGTAATTGCATCATGTGTCTTCAAAGTATGATCCTCATTTTAAATTGATCCATAAACTTTAAAATGTTTCAATTTCATCCCTAAACTATGACTATGATCCTAAATTAGTCCTCAAACTTTTGATCATTTCAATTTCATCTCCAACCTATGGCCTTCATTCTAAATTGGTCCCAAAACTTTTTGAACTTTCCAATTTCATCCCAAACTATATGTATACACTAATAACATCCATTGTTAATAAAATCATTAGGCCAAGTTTTATTATTATATGTTTAAAAAAACAAAGTTTAGGTTAAATTATGGTTGAAACTAATGGATGAATTTGGGGATGAAATTGGAATATTCAAAAGTTTAAAGACCAATTTAAAATGAAGTTCATAATTTGGGGACATATAATGTAATGAACTCTAAATAATATTTTAAAAGTGAAGTAAAAAAGCTATCTTTTTCATTTAGGAGACAACTCGCCTACTTTAATATTTCTTAATTTCCAACCTCATTATTATATGAAATCTTGTCTCCCTTTGCCTTACTCATTTTTTTAATAATGTGGGGTTAAAGAACTACTAAATACTAATTATTTGATTTTGACGTCACCGCTTAGCTATAAATCTTACCATATAAATCTTGTCTTAGCTACCAGAATTAACCTTAAATAACGATAACTAGTATTTGTGATTAATGAAATTTTTTCACAACCTTCTTTTTTGTACTTGCAGATACTTTTATCTATGGAAAAGCCTTAACAAAAATCTTTAAAAATCAAATTCAAAGTATGAAAAACACAAGGAGACCAAAAAAATGTGTTTATATCTTTTTGAACTTCTCTTTTAGCAATTATGCAATTCTTGATGTTGTCTATGATAATTTGGAGAACATTTGAGAGGATAAATTTTTCAATTGTCTCCAGTAAAATATCACCATCACTTGACCTATTTTCTCCACTCCATTGAAGACACCATAATACATGAACATGACTTCATGATTGTTTGTTACAATAACACTAATAAGTTTATCTTGTTTTCAATTAGACCAACCATCTAAGATATGGGATACAACATGAATATATCAAATATCTTTCATTGGGGCCAATTCTCTTTTAACACTCTTGTAATATTCATCAAGCAAGGATTTATTGCCTTCTCAAACGAAGGTGATTTGTAATATTTAAGTGTTTGGTTAATTGCATGAACCATTCATACTACCGGGAGATAATAAAAAGTAATAACATTTGCACAAAGACGTCTTATTATCTTTATATGAATAACTTTTTTGGTCATCGTTTTAAAGGACATTTCAAACGGTGATATGTTAAGAATGAGTATTTATTTTTGTAAAATATCGTAATTTTGTTGATACCCCTACACCTTTTGCTTCTTCAATTTTTTATGTAAATATTTCAATCGTTCAAAGAAATAAGTGTAAATTTTTTAATCAGTGCTTGTAAATTTAATCTTCAAGTGATTACAACATCATAACCTTGCACCTACCGAATTTTTGCTTTATAATATTAAACACCGTAATCTCATCAAGCAAAGGCTTAATACCTTGTTTATCTTGCTTCTCTACTTTGATATTGGAACAGATATAAGATGCAATTCATATTCACATGTTTATTTCGGATTTAAGGTAATTTTATATCATCAATAAAATGGTGATATACGCCATCTTTTCATTAGAATGTATTAAAAAATAAAAAATATAATTGTTTTTTAACAATTGATAATCAGGGTAAAAGAATATAATAATAATTAAAATAAAATAACAATAATAATAATAATTCAATGATGAATTGAATGAATTATTAAAAAAAAGAAATGGAAGGAATATAATGGGTATTGGGTACTGGCTTCGGTTGTATGGAGAGAAGAGCAAGGTTTAGATCAGTTTTGTTTGCCATAGTGAAGGAACCTTCGTTTCGGGTTCTAATTTTTGCATGTGATTTTTGACTCATGACTTCCTCACACGTTTTGTACGGTTTAAGACTGAGAATAAGAAGCGTGTGAAAATGTTTGAATTCTCGCTCTCTCTCTTTGTTGCTTTACAACTGCGACACAATCGCTTCAATTCATTCCAACTTGTAATGCTAACAGTTTAGACCAAAACTCCAACCTTTCCCTCTTCTCCGACCACTTTGTCTTGGACTTATTTTTTACTACTCTAATAATTTATAATGTATAATTATAATTATCACCAATATTTATTAAGTTGTGTAACAAATAATAAAATTTTTAAATAAAATTTATGATTTATAGATAAATGTATATCTCGAGATTCAACCAATATAAAATTGTATTTGTTTCGGATCTAAGGTAATTAATGAATACTAAAATATTTTAAACTTTAAAAGAAATCATTATTGAAGAACTTAATTGAAATATCTCAATTAAATTAAATTAAATTATTTTCTTTTATTTTTCTAATTTCCTATATAACTTTGATTCATCGAAAGTTTACTAATTTTTCAAATATAAGTTCCACTTATTTTATCTCATAAAAAAAAACGTTTTCTAAAACCTCAAATGTTGAAAGTTGAGACCAGAACCCATATTCTTGGAAGCTGCTTGTTCTCCTAAAATGCGTCTCTAACGTGTGGGTATGTACTCTTAAAACCTCAAATTATTTTTGTAAAACTAGATTTATTAATACTTACGCTATTAATAAAATTAGTAAACTTGCCACATACTTATATGTATATTTACATATTTAATTACTTATATACAATTATTTCATGTATTATGAAATACAGATGGATGAAATTAGTTATTTTTTACCGTACTTTTATATAATACATATTAAATTATTTATATGTATACAAATTTTATTTCAATGTTTTAATTTAATATCAATATTGGTTGATTTATTTTAATATTTAAGCAACGTTAAAGTATAAATCTTAATATTGTGAATGTAATAGACTAGATTAGAAGGATCACCTCATAATAAACTTATAAGTTATACAATATTCGATCCAAATTAACTAATTAATAGATCAAATATTGAGGTTAATATAAAAATATACTTTATGTCAGTGTAAGATAATAATTCATAAAAGATATTTTCACGGATTCAAAAGTTTTATAAACTCTTGTTTCATATGTATTATTGATGAAATATTTTAGGTGAAAAACAAATAATGATGTGAAGTTAGTAATAAAATATTAATATATAAATCTATTAATTTTATGTTAATTTCAGAATAAAAATATTTATTATTATTTAAAAATTATGTTTTCAGTATTGTCAAAACAAATGAGTGCATGTAAAATCGACTCATGGATTTAATATAAGTAAAGATAAAACATGTTAAAGAAGATAAATAAATAAATAAATAAAATATATATGAGAAAAAATATTTAAAAAAGTGTTAGAAGTTATACAAAATAAATGCAAAAAATATATAATTTTTTGACAAAATGCAAAATATAATTAAAAGTAAAGAAGCTTAAATTGGATTATTAGAGTAAAATATTATATATTTAAGTTTTGTTTTCACTGAGTATGAAGACAAAAGAATTATAGAATTCCGATTAACATGAAAATCCATTTGAAAACAAAAAGAAGGAAAAGGAAAGTCCAGAAGAGCGGCCTCAAATGAACACTGAATACTAAAACAACTAAAAATGTAAGAGATATTTTCACACGTGTGAGAACGCAATGTAATACTTGGAAGCGTGTACGTTTGGTAGAATCTGTATATATTACTTTGCAAATAGATTGGTTCATCCTGTCCGCTGTCCAATTGGGAGAACAAATTACATCCCACATCTGAACACTACTGTTTACACTCCTAGTCTTTAAGGACAGCTCTTCATTTTCAACTCCAATTTCCTGACTTTTGAAGATTTCTGGAGCTCTCCATTATTATCTCGTATGTTTCCATGTTTACTTTTTTAATAAAAATCTTTCTGGGTATTTGTTTCTTGGATTATCTGAGCTTTGTTGCTTTGTTTGATCATCTCAGGAAATCAAGGGAAAGAAAAGAACAGCTTTTCTAATGGAAATCCTTTCAAGCAAATGGATATCTGAACTGGTAAAACACTGTTCTTTCTGCTCCTGTTTAAAAAAACATTTTTTTTCTTATGAAAGTTGTTTGATTTGCAGGAAATGGAGGATCCCAGTTTTTTCCCACAACTGCCTACTGTCGACTATTCATTTGATGATACAAATTTCCAATCCTTTTCTTCTGAGAGCTATTCGTCTTATCCAAATATAGGTCAGAAAATCTCTCAAAACGATGTTTCATGCAACAATATTGAAGCTTACCGTCAGGAGGACAATGAGTTCACAAGGCCAATGAAACAACTCAAAACCAACAACTGGAGCTTTTCCTTGAATCAAAACATCCCACCAAAGGTTCCTTCTTCATCTTCCCCATATTCCCAGATAATCTCCTTCAACAACTCCGATTCACCTCCGGCTGTGTCTCAACAACACTACGGCCTTGACTGCGACGTTAAACCAAACAATAATGAGGTGGGTGATTGAGATGCAAATATTGTATGTTTTCCATCTTAGATTTATCTCCAAGTGCTTACGAGGACCAATGTTTGTTCACCTAAATTTGAACAGGTTTCAAAGAGGGTGGTGCGTTCATTGACTAGGACTCCACTACATGCTCAAGATCATGTGATTGCTGAAAGGAAACGCCGTGAAAAGCTCAGCCAGAGGTTCATATCACTTTCAGCACTCATTCCTGGCCTGAAAAAGGTACAAAGTCTTTCAGTTTCACCATAGATATATAGTTTAGAATCGAAATAAAGCACCGTCTTAGATGATTTAATCAATAGTGTTAATGCAGACGGATAAGGCATCGGTTCTTGGAGATGCTATCAAGTACCTGAAACAGCTTCAAGAGAAAGTGACAACACTGGAGGAGCAAGTTGCTAAGAAAGCGGTGGAGTCAGTGATCTTCTTGAAGAAAACCCAGATTTATGCAGATGATGAGACATCTTCCTCCGGTGAGAATTTTGAGAGTCAATTTAACAAGCCATTCCCTGAGATCGAAGCAAGAGTTTCAGACAAAGATGTGCTTATTAGAATCCACTGCGAGAACAGAAAAGGGTTCATCTCCAATATAATAAAAGAAGTCGAGAAGCTTCATCTCTCTGTGCTTAATACCAAAGTCTTTCCCTTCGGACAAGCCACTCTTGACATAACCATTGTTTCTCAGGTATTGCCTTTGTTTTACTTTTTCCAAAGTAGATTTCAATATGCAATTTCCAAGTTAAACCCCTTGACTAAAACCTTGAATATTCCATGATTATTATCATCACTTGCAGATGGAAGCTGAGCTTTCAATGACAGTGAAGGATCTCGTGAAAACCCTACGACTGGCTTTGATGAAGTTCATGTGATTAACAACCATGTTCACATTGAGAAAACAAGAATGCCACCAGACTTCTTTTTATCTCTTTTTTTTTTTTTGGATCAGTGATGATTTTCTACGGTTAATCTTTTGTTGGGTTTTTTCCTCAAACCTTGAAAGAGAGAAACAGTATCCTGTGACCTGCCATTATCCAGATAGCTTGGAGGATCCAGATTTGGGAGCAAAGTAGGGTTTCCATGTGTTTAGTTACTATTTTTCGAGGTGTTGACGACGTTTAATTTTTTCCTACTTGGCTGTATCTGGATTCTCCATAGCTATGAAGCTTCAAGAGGTTTTTGAGGGGTTTTGACCTAAAATATGTAAGTGACCCCTCTTCCCCCTTGTTTTTTTTTTCTCCATTAAAAGTTGGAGATTTACAGGCAGATTTTCTTTCTTAGGTTTGATTAGGAATTGCCATGTAATATTGCACCTTTTACTTGATGGATTGAATAACAAACTTCTTTGTCAATATATGTTATTTCAGAAAAATAATATCATTTCTTTTTAAATGTATATGAACTGAATTGAACATATGAACAAGAGGAAATACATATTATGGATGAAATGGTGAGATAAGATGATTGTAACGGTTGAATTAAGGGAATAGGTACATATGGAACCTTATTTTATATCAACTGCAGGGGTTATCTGGTATTTTATGTATGTATTAGGTTTTTTTCTTCTATTTCTGTGTTAATTGTTCAAATATAAAATAAGATATATAGTTATTTTCATTTGAAAATAAAAATGAGAGTGAAGTATCCAATTAGTCCCCACAAAAGATTGTAATCTGGCCATCGTTTCTTCATCTTTGACTTTTGGCTCGTTCCTTGTCTCTATCTCTTTCATATGGTTTATAAATAAAGAAATTAATTGGTGATCTGTCACTCTTCTCTACGGTTTCCATTGATCCAAACCCTATATTAGATTCATACAAACACCATCCATCCATCAAAACCAGTGTGTTTCGTAATTTAAAAATATAATGTCTAAATTACTCGAATCTTTTTTCGCTTATAAATCCAAAGATAGTACGTATTAAATATGTATGAGTCACGTCTTCTTAAACATTATTTTAAGACAACACCAATCTAACTAAAGCTCATCCTATAATTTGAAATGAATTAAACCTATCCTTGTTAATTAACCAACAGTTTAGGCGAGATGTTGTGAGGTAGATGAAACTAAACCCACAAAATGGACAGCAATTGGAAAAAAGGTAATCATTGTTCAATTTGCTTGGAATCAAGAAATAAATGATTAGTCAAAGTGAGGCAACTACATGTAAGCAGGGTTTCAGCTATTTCGTACGACTTTGGACCCAAACGACCCCGACCTTCTTTCTGTTCTATTCCAATAAATTTGGAGTCCCTTAACCATGTATATAAATAAAATCTTCACTCTATGATCACTATCGAATTTTATTACTTAACTCTATATCATGCGACATCCAATCAGTTATTTTAAGGAATATGTTAAGATCTCAGTATTTTAGAATTATTCGTATTTAAATTATTGTTCTAATACTATTTTCCAATTCAAAAAAAATTGCTTCGACTACACTTTTAACTCTATTTTTTTCTATGGATTTCCATAAATCATAATAATACAAAGGATAATATTTATTAGTATCAAATTAGTCAGATAATTAAGTCGTTATAAAATTGAGTCCAAAATCTAATATCGACACTCATAAAAGATTTTATGAATTTACATGTTTTAAGAAAAGTTTAAAATTTTCGCTATTTTTTTCGGTGGGTTACTCCAGTGGCTCTAATGTGACACTCCAGATCGGATCGGGCTATCCTCATCGATCTGAGGGGGTTACATTTAGTGGTATCAGAGCTATGGTTTGAGTCAAAAATTTTAAAGATAGACCAGCCGGTCGAATGTCAAAATATGTCTGATCAGTACATGCCCCTAGACTGCAATCATACCTCTCTGAGCCGGAACTCCAGGGATGAGTCCCTATCTGTAGTAAGTAATCCAAAGTTTCTATCTGTTAAGGCTATACTTGTACAAAAAGGAATACCAGTAACATCTATCTAAACGCTGTGAAGTACCTCACGATCCATGTGAGAGTTATTTATCTGAAAAATTCTGACTTAACTCCGGAAATGAAATTGGGATATGCTACTGCTCTATGAGTCTATTCTCGTGACAAAGACTGAATTGATTACTCAAGGAAATTTTCGTTCGAATTCTTTTATTGAAATGAGGAAAAGTTATGATAAGAATGTATGCTCAGCTGGTTAAGGATTAGTGGAGGATTCGTACTTTTGTAAAAGCTACTTAAAGATATGAGAGAACTGATGGAAGTTTTATTTATGCAATTATGTGACTTAAAAGAATTTCGAGGACGAAATTCTTTTAAGGGGGAGAATTGTAACACCCCAATTTAGGGGCTAAATTTAAGAAATTATAAAGTGGTGAATTTAATTGGTATTTTTGGAAGAAATTGGGGATTAAATTGTAAAATTTCAAAGTTGACAGACCGTTTTAAGAAGTGCAGAAAGTTCAGTGATTAAACTCATGGTTTACCCATTTTTATTATGGGATGAACTATAAACCCCATTTGTCGTGCTCAGTTTCCAGTTTGTTTCCAGTTTTCCTCTTCCCCTTAACCCCTTTTTCAACTCTGATCTACTCGTCGTTCGGCCTCCGATCGACGAGCCAAAACCACCATCGTGTTCGTTGTCGAGCGAGGAACAAAATCCCTCAAATCTTTCATCGTGAATCGTCACCGTTCGTCATTAATTTCAGTCGGAAATATCGTCGGTAATAACTCGATTTCAATTGGTTTTTCGTCGATTCACGACGATCCGATGATCTGTTTACGACACCTCCCGCACCATCGTGTTCCTTGCATCGTTCCGAGTCTGCCGGTGTCATCCTTGGTCTCCGTCGACGGTGGCGCGTGAGGAGGTGAAGCGGTCAAAGTTTCCGATTTGTTGAAATCGAGCTCTTACCGACGATACTTCCGACTGAAATTAACGACGAATGACGATGATTCACGATGAAATGTTTGAGAGGTTTTGTTCCTCGCTCGACAACGAACACGATGGTGGTTTCGGCTCGTCGATCGGAGGTCAGACGACGAGTAGATCAGAGTTGAAAGAGGGGTTGAGGGGAAGAGGAAAACTGGAAACAAACTGGAAACTAGGCACGGCAAATGGGTTTATAATTCATCTCATAATAAAAATGAGTAAACCATGAGTTTAGTCACTGAACTTCCTGCACTTCTTAAAACGGTCTGTCAACTTTGAAATTTTACAATTTAATCCCCAATTTCTTCCAAAAATACCAATTAAATTCACCACTTTATAATTTCTTAAATTTAACCCCTAAATTGGGGTGTTACATCGACCAAAACTAAAATGATTTCAAATACGATGTCATTACTGATTCTTTATCAGAAAATAAGAAAATTGAAACGGTTCTCACTTTGACGCATGCTATTGATAAAACACTTCACGATGCTGTTAAACATTCATTGTACATTAAAAAAATAAAGTTAATGGTTAGTTAATATAAATTTAAAATGAAAATGTCATTACCGTGTAAGTTAACATTTACAATTCAAAAAATTTATCCTTAATCAAATGTTTTGTTATGCCTTATAAAGATCCATTTGATTATAATTATGATTTGTTTGGAATCTGCATAAACATTTATGGCTACCAGAATTATATATAACTATTACTTATAAAAATTCTTTTAATAGAAAGGGAAGCTTTGAAACAGAATAAGTAATGTATAATGCCAGCAACACCAAATTAAATATATGATACAACATGCAATTATATATAATAATGTAATTTGATAATATTGAAATAAAAAAAATACTTCATATGTGACACTATCGAACTTTGATTTAATTCTAAAAGAGTTATCATCATATCAAGTGGTTTCAGTTATAAATAAAGTTATTTTTAGATGTTTTAAGTTTGAGCAATTGTATCTATAGAATATGTGTGTTATTAAAAAGTTGATTTTTTTTAAATAGATATTATCTTATAATCACTTCAAATTATTTAAAAAAAATATTCTCAACGAGATGCATATAAACCCAAAGAAAGTAGCTGAAGTAGAGGCTATAAGGCTTCTCATACACATTCATTTGGGCTTAGAATCCTAGAGTTTGGACTTTCTCTCCAACTAATTTCAATGATTTTTCGCAGCGACCTATCCGATTTAGACTTGTTTTGGTCCAATTAATACATTTAATTATTTAAAAATAACATTACTTAATATTTATATTCTAAATATATGTAATTCTTTTTTTAATAAAGATGCAATGAAATAAACCTATTTCTAGAATTTACTCATCTTTCCACGATCACTAAAAATAGAATGAAAGATGAAGAGAAAGGATAATCCATTAATTACTTTATGTCACATAATGTTACGAAGAGTAATGAAATTATTTTTATTTTCTTTATATATTAAATCAACGTTTTCCTTTTCTATATGGACTTGATTCTTGAATCAATGAGAATATTATAATTTTATTATTTAAATATATAGTTTCTTTTAATTATTTAAAAATACATCAGTCGTTAAAAGTTATTTAGAGAAATGATATCTACTTTTATAACTTAAGCAAAAGTTCGTCCTATCGAACATACCTTCTAAAAATCATTTTTTATGAACCTGTTTTTATCTTACGTGATGATCAAATCAACAAATGTCTTGATTCACGTAAAAGACGTGAATATACCTTTCAGAGTTGATATTAGATATTTTATTTTTAATAAGTTCCAATGTTTTTTTTTATTTAATATTTATTTAATTATGTAAGCATCCAATTCTGTTCCGCTAATTTAATCTAAATTTGAGACTCAAGGTATTGTTTCTAAAGTTTTATCATTTTTTATGTTTGTCGGTTCAATTTAATTAAAAAAAGTAAAAGTTTAAAGATCGAAAAAGATGAAAAATTAATAACTAAAATGATTGTTTATAAAAAGTTTGAGAACTAAAAATATCATTAAACAAAAGTATTACAATGCATAAGAATTAAGAAAAATAATAATAAATGAATTGGTTTTTAATACTATCTTATGTCTGTTGGTAAAATAGACTGTTGTAAAATGAGACGATAACAATAACTGAAAAAATGTTAAAGAAAACAATCAAACGGAACAATAATCATGTCGTGTTGATCCACTGACTTAGAAGCAAATTTGTCTCGATGTATGTAATTGTTATAATGGACGAATAACCCATGAGGTTAGCACGGTCTCTCCAAATTTTGTAAACTCGAAAAAGAAAGTGGACTTAGATGTTACTACTCTTCTATCAACTCGAAACATAACTCAAAAAATGTTTATGAAAACCAAATAGGGTGTTTCAAAGAAAATGTCATT